AAAAAAGACTATGAATTGGATTCAGAATGATAATCAAAACGTAGATAAAGTCGATCAACACCCCAAAGCTTGACAGTCATTATTATCTCTTCATTGGTTGACATTTAATTCCATAACGTTACACAGTTTTGATGCTGTTTTATGTCTGATGATCGTGTTAGATTACATGTGGAAGCATCTGTTGTTTAGGTTTCTTATTCACTTGTGTTTTTTGGAAATTCTGTACAGAAGATGTGTACTAGCTTCCCCTACCATATAACAATGAAAACACGGATTCTAGGAGCACAAGTATACAGTAGCTCAAATATATAAGTCAAGTATACTTAAATGTAAATTTAAGTATATTTCTGAGAAGTACATAAAGCCCATTTCTGAGAAGAACATTAAAAGTAGACTAAAAGTATACTTTCCTATTTTTTTGTTTAAAATAAGTATACTAATAGCACACTTGAATAAACTTCTTTTTCGTAAGGGTATGCATTTGTTTGTATGCGCATCTCAAGGGTCTTGTTGTTAGGTGTAACCTTGCACTAATATTTCATTAGTATTATAGGATTTTGGTCTTGCTAATTCTTTCTTGTCTAAGACAAGACGATTGCAAAATATTTACCAATATATTCAATTCCATGTCATGATTAAAGCTACAATCTTTGATTATGAAATTACAACCCCTGAATTCACCACATAGTGTAGTAAAAAGTGTTGTGTAAATGAGGTTTTTGCAACTAATGAGGAAAAACTGTAGTGCCCTTCTTTATTGGTATCAAGTATAGTTGAAGGTAGATTCACATTCTTACAAAAATATATTTAACCAGTCTGTTTCTTTCAATGTTCACTCCAAACAGTTTCAACAAACACATCACAGTTGACTTCTTTACATTGCTGGCTTTGCGGTGAAATAACTTCAGTTAATTTTGTCTGGTTTTGCCAGATGTGGTTTGTGTTCGGGGCACAGTGTTTTTAAATGGTTTGCAAATGTTTGTGGGTTAACTGGGAGAAAAAGAATGTGAAATATAGCACTGTTTTCTGATAAGCATGGGTTTGTGGCTTACTTGGCTCATTCTTGTGTAGTTCAAGACATTTATAGACATTCATTTTATGGGTATTAAAGTTATTTCAACTATTGTGAGGAGATTAGAGGGAGATTTATAACTAGAGATACTGCAGTTTGATCTCGTCCATTTTGTTTTCCCGGAGTCAGTCAGAGTGTGTCTCTTTGGGTTGCTATATGTTTCTCCCTTCTATGGCTTAAAGGCCTCGTTGTGTTTTAATAATGATTTCTGTTTGAGAGCAGCCTTTGTTCTCTTCAGAGAGTTCAGGTGTTGAGGTGAAAGTCACAAGTTATTCTAGAAGTATTCATCTGTGTATGTGGTTGTTGTAGTTCAGAAGAATGATGTGTGTTTAGCTGTGACTGAGCAGAATAGAGCATCAGTTGTCTCATTACATTTGCTTGGGGTACAATAGAGTGCATAGTAGGTTTTAATTTGTTATATGGGCCAATGACCATCAGTCTCTGAGTGCCTTGAATCTTTGAAATTAATTTGCTTTAAGTCACCTTGGACAATATTTCAGGAGAATGCAGGTAGTCCATCCTGTCCCAGACAGCAGTGAAAGTAGGTTACATTTTATGACATACAAGTGAGTGGAAGAGAGGAGATTAATAAGGCACAATGCTTTGGGAAAAAACAAACAAATCTTGTGTCCTTTTTGTGTTTCTCCGAATGCCATTTTTTCCATATTGTGATGTATACTGTAAAAATGTATTTTTCAACGTTGTTTTTTTCAATTTTGCTCCTAATTTCATGTTTACTTGCAGTTTCTATGTAATGAGTTGTAAATTTTGTAGCAATTTCTGAAAATTGTGAAAATGAAAATTGTTTATACACCAATTTTTATAAAATATACTATTGAAAAAGTAGTCTGGGACGTGGTCCTATCCATTGGTTAATGATTGGTTGGAGACAAAATGGCTAAATGCAAGCTTGCAGTCACTTGTAAGAAGAGGGGAAGGGTTTAAGCGGACTAAATTTCGATTAAAAATTACAATGTAAAAAAGAAAAAAAAAAAAGAAAAATATGCATGGATGAATGGTTTTATGATAAGATCAATAATATACATTTAGAGAATAGATAGGGTGAATTTTCTGACCTTAAACATAGAAGGAAGTATACAGTTGAGTAATTCCACATTAACACAGACTTTTTGGTTGTAAATATTTCTGTTTAACTAATTTTTGTCCTGTATTACCTTTTTGCCTGTTAATCAAGGTAATCATCAACTATGCCATATTATTTTACACAATAATCCCTCTTTCCATGTTATGCAGAGCACTGAGAAATCAAAAACTTTGTCTTTCTGATGTTGATGGTGAAATCCATTTTCACCAGTTTGTCATAAAAAAATGTAATAGACAAAGATATCTTCTAAATTTGCATTTAATTAATCACTGAAGAAAACACTGTGTCCACTGCATTTAGGATTGAGTGATTTGTTGTGCCAGTTGTTCATTATGTTATATTCTGACTCATTGCTGCTGGTGATCTTCACCTCTTGTGCTGTTTGTGTGATAAACATGTTTTTTTGTAGATAAGCTGATCTCTTGATTGAAGTGCAGTTGCTGTGACTGGCTCTGTACTGTGCTGTAACATTCTGGTCATTCAGGTGAAAGTAATTGTAACTCCATTTGGTGGAAGGAGAAATATTACCTGTTGATAAAATGCATAGTTGATCATTTTATTAACATGTTACTGTGCTTAAAACATGCATATATGATAAAAAATCATATGATGCATGATTTTTTCTTTCTTTTTGGAAACAGGAGTTTTTAAAGCATTCAGTGACCTTTTTTAACTGTTTGTATAACGGTCTGATTTTATATTTTGATTTTGCATATTCTAATTGCATATTTTGAAGACATTACAATTTTTACATTATTTATCTATTGTTGTATTATATTTTTAATATGTAGGGGTTTATCTTGTTTTTACACACACACACACACACACACACACACACACACACTTATTTATTTATTTCAGTATGTATGATGTGGTTTTGCTGTCTTACATTCTCCTTGTGAACCAGGCAGTAACAAATGAACAAATGAACAAATGTCTGAATTCACATATATTCTGTAACGTTACCATATTCTCTCTTACTTCGGTTCCATCAAGGCCCTTTTGAGATGTCAACTCATCTTTGTATTTTTCTTTGTCAGGTTGACAGAGTCATCAGGATCACTCACTGATGGACCAGTTAACTACAAATACAAGACTAAATGCACTTGGCTGATTGAAGGATAGTGAGTACCACTATGTCAAGCTAATCTCACAGTCTTTGTTATTTATATGTATAATTTACACATTTTTTTTTCAAAGCAACTTACAAATTAGAATTAGAATAAATGTTTTTATTTATTTATTTCTGTGACATTAGTGGATATTAGGTTCAAATACATTTGTCTTATTATTAATTATTAAAAAATAATATATTTTCTGCTTTTTATTTTAGCCCAAATGCTGTGCTCAGGTTAAGGTTCAACCATTTTGCTACAGAGTGCAGTTGGGATCACATGTATGTCTTTGATGGAGACTCAATTTACGCACCTTTGGTAGCTGTGTTTAGGTAAGTGATAGTGGAATCAAAGTCATTAATACACACAAACTGACACAGCAGATGCAAACGTCAATTCATATCAAACAGAAACGCATTTTGTTGGCCTAAGGCAGTGCATATAATCTCATGAACAAAAGTATAAGAAAATCATCAAATTCATAAAATTGAACAACTCCTTATGGTTAGTTCTATTAAATGAACAGTAAACTTTAACTTTAATCATGGTAAACATGGTCTGTGACTACAGTAAATGACAAATAATTGTTTTTTTTTGAGGAAGGCAAAACAAGTTTAGTTTGTGGAAAAATTGTACTATTTTTATATAGACACTTCATTTCCAGCGATACCGTTGACTTGATTGCAAAGATACTATTTAAACTGAGCTGGATGTTGACATCACTGAATTCAATGATGAACTGTCTTTAACTGAAAAATTTGTGTTTACTATTGTCATTTTGCATTATTGACACACTATTTTCCTAATTAATGCTGTTCAGTTGCTTTGACACAATCTGTATTGTTAAAAGCGCTATATAAATAAAGGTGACTTGACTTGACTTGATTCATTAGATCATTTGTAATTCAAGGAAAGAAAGAGCATATTTGGCTGAGATATTTGATTTGTTAACCATGTTATTGAAAATACATATCAAGTTGTTGTCAGTTCTGGTCCATATCTTTCAGCGTTTGTTCAAAGTCTTAAACTAGAGCATATAACACACAGCTTTTGGTGAACACACACTTCTCTGCAGTTTACATTTACATTTACATGTAGTTATTTAACAGACGCTTTTATCCAAAGCGACTTACAAATGAGGACAATAGAAGCAATCAAAACTAACAAAAGAGCAACAATATATAAGTGCAAATGACAAGTCTCGGTTAGCCTAACGCAGTACACG